TTAATGCCCCTCATTTTATGTAGCCAGTGTCTACATTGTTCATCCCTACTCACCCTGTATACAGAGGAGATAGGATTGATATTTGATGTGAAGACCCCTTCCCTCTCAGTTGCTATTTTGAGCTACTGCATCTATAAGTATAGGTCCTTCCATCTTCTTTTGATGCTTTCTGCATCATTCATGATGCAGAAATGTTTTGCCCATAGAATCCTTCAGAATTGCAAGTTGAAGATTGAATATTTTCTTCAGTTCCTTCAGCTTGAGAAATGTTGAATGTATTCTTCCTTTTGGTTTATAACTTGAGATCTTTGCACATTTCACTATACTATTTGACTTTGTCTTCTGTTCAGCTCTTTTAACTCATTTCTTCCTTTTTTTTTTTTTAAGTATCTTTATACTAGAGAGCAAGTTTTAGAGTCTTTTTTTTTTTTTTTTTTTAAGTATCTTTATACTAGAGAGCAAGTTTTAGAGTCTCTTTTGACATCCATTTTGGACTTTTTCTTCTTTCTTGTCCTCTTAATGACATTTTTTTTTTTTCCTGTATGATGTTCTTCATGTCATCCCACAACTCCCCTGGTCTTCATTCATTAGTGTTTAATCTATCAACTCTGTTCTTGAGATAACCTCTAAATTCTTGAGATGGGATATGCTCAAGGTCATATTTTGGCTCTTGTGGAATTGTTTTAATTTTTTTCAGCTTCAGCCTGAACTTAGGAACAATTGATGGTCTGTTCCACAGTTTTCCCCTGGCCTTGTTTTGACTAATGATATGGAGTTTTCCCACCATTTCTTTTCACAGATGTAGTCAATTTGATTTCTGTTTATTCCAGCTGGTAAGGTCCAAGTTATGTTTTATGTTGTTTAAAAAAGGTATTTGCAATGAAGAAATCATTGGTGGTTATGTACCATAGAGTCAGTTCTGTCTCACAGAGACCCTGTATAGGGTTTCTGAGGCTTTAAGTCTTTATAGGAGCAAAAAGATGAGGCTTTTTGCTCCTATAAAGATTTAAAGGTCTTCTTTATTCACTGTTCAACTTTTGCATGCATATGAGGTTCAACAGAACATATTTCTCAGAATTATATTTCTAGTTACATATATAACTATATAACCTCAGAGATTTGATTTTATTTCATCAGTCTTATATTCCATAATGGAGTCCTGGTGTGGTAATAACCAACGTATTCTATAGCTAGATCCTATGTCCTTGACCATTAACCTACCAGACCACAACATTGGGTTGAACCACAAAGTCAGCGGTTCAAACTGACCAGTTGCTCTAAGGAAATCCAATACAGAGTTGCTAAGAATCATAACCAACTCGATGTCTCTTAACAACAACAACATATTCCGTAGTAAACCTGAGTCACCTGAGAACTGTATATGTTGATCCCAATAGTAAAGGCAAAAAAAAAAGTAAAGCATTTTGGTAACATACCAAACATGCGTGGTATAAGTAGGCATTTTCTGAGGTGGTGATGTTAAATTGAGTAAAACGTGCTAACTTATTTGGAACAGTCAAAGTGTAACACTTAAGTCAAACTTTTTTTCACACATAACTTACGCCAAGCTATTTGTTAAATTTTGTATAGCAGCCACTAGAACGTTCCTTTCTTTTATAGCACCTATAAGACAGCTACGACAATGTCTAGAATACAGTGGGTACTCGAGGTCAGCAAATGTGGTCTCATTTCTGACCTAGAGTTACAAACTTCCAAATAAGTTTGCTTTCTAGTGATTTAAGAAACAGTATATCTGACTGGGAAATGCCATCATTAAATCTAAAAATACCTCTTTATTTGAAGAATTATTTCACTATATCTGTGACATAAAAACTGGGTAATTTTAATATCTGAGCACTATTTTTTAAGTTCTCTGGCTATAAAGAGGATAATATGATGGGGATAACTGGGACAATACAGATACTCGGATATTCATATGACACACCTGTCATCACCAGCAATCAATCCTGCCTCTGCTGAAAATCCATGAACCTGAATCACCTGTTGTAGAAGCAGATTTGACTGGGAAAGCCCTTCCATCCACCTCTAAGCTGAGAAATAGAAAAAACATGGTGCCTTGCTCTTCTAGAACCAGTTGTTGTTGCTAAGTGCCATCAAGTCGATTCCAACTCATAGCAACCCTGAATAGGGTTTTTGAAGAGTGACTGATAAGTTTGGACTACTGACCATGTGGATAGTCCGTGCTTATCGTACAGCGCCACACCAGGACTTATTAACTATCCCGAATGAGAATAATGTGTTTTCTCATTTGCTCCTCCATTAGAGATTGATCCTTTAAAGGGCAAGGAATGTGTTTAGGGGCTTAGCTTAGTATCAGACGTATTGTAGATACTCAACATATATTTGTTAAATTTGTCAAAGTCCATAATGAATGAGAAAATGGGGTACTCCTTTCTTCATTATTTTTTCACTCTTATGAGGATACACATCTCCAGTACCCTCTTGGCATGAAGTTGAAGTGTGTACATTTATTGAAACACATTTTGACCCAGTTCTATACCATGCTTTAAGCAGTGTATTAACCATGTGTTGTTCTTGCTTCTTCTGTATTCAGGACTTGTGCCATTCTCATTGTGATGAGCCCATCATCCAGAAGAAAATCACAACTATTATTAATTGCTTTATTAATTCCAGTATCCCGCCATCTTTACAAATTGACATTCCAGTTGAGCAAGCCCAGAAGATCATTGAACATAGGAAGGAGTTAGGGCCATATATCTTTAGAGAGGCACAGGTAAGAGATCAGAGGTGGTAGCTTAACTTATTTTAAAATACATCAATAATCTAGATATTCTTTTAAACTTTTTTACATTATTCATATCTGACAAGGTTCCAGTCCTCCAAATTCTGGGATTTATTTTATTAAATTAATTTTTTTTTCACATATGCCACCAAAATGTAAGAAACAAGTAGCCTACTATTTTGGTGATTGTAATATATGGCAAGTAAAATTAAATACTATACTTGGAGTTTCCATATTGAATCATTTTTGTTTCTAACATATAAAACACCAGTTAATTCCTTCTTCTTTTTTCACCACTCATGATTACTTTGAAAATATCTGCTAACACAAAAATATGTAAAATATGCATGTGCCAAGATTTGTGTATTTTTAAAGATTGAAATATTCACATAGCTCATAAAATAAGTGAGAGGAGATGTAAGTACTTGACCAACATAAAGTACACAAGCTCTTGAAAGGAAACCCTGCCTGTTAACCCGCTCAAGTTACATCTTTTTAAGATAAATAATAGAAACAGTGACTTGGTGAACATAATTTATTTGCATTTTAAAAAGCCTTTTAGCGATGTTGTTCTTAAAAAATGATTAAGAAAAATAAATTATAATAGGGGTAGTCGGGAAAGCTATGTCATGAACGAATGATAGGAAACAGAGATCTAGGGCATGCTTGCCCTTGAGCATGGAAAAAGGCCATTATGCCTTAACATTCATTTGGGAGCCAGCTGTGTTCTAAGTCCTCTAAGGGACTGAAAGTGGACTCCAAATTATGTATTAAAAGAGACAAAAATAGAATAAATGGTTGAGGATGTGCTAGAGAGAAATGGAGAAAACATGATGCCAGAATTATAACATGTATAAATCAAAAGGTCTCAGAGATCACATAGCCTCATTTTGTTGTTAGTGTTAGGTGCCGTGGAATTAGTTCCAACTCATATCAACCCTTTGCACAACACAATAAAACACTGCCCAGTCCTGTGCCATCCTCACAATCGTCGATATGTTACAGCCCATCTCATTGAGGACCTTCCCTTTTTTGCCTACCCTTCACTTTACCAAGCATGTCCTTCTCCAAGGACTGGTCCCTCCTGAAAACATGTCTGAAGTATGAGAGACGAAGTCTCATCATCCTAGCTTCTAAGGAGTGTTCTGGCTATACTACTTCCAACACAGACCTCCTGATAACTGGGCCAGAGCTTGTTCATATATATTAAAGATCTTGAGTCCAACTGTGAACGTCTGGAGCTGCTGCAGTACTGATGTTTGCATGGGTTGGTCCCTGTACACTCTCCTGGGATCACAGGCACTGAGCTTTATTAGAGTCCTCTAGCCTATGCCTCCTCCCTAATTTCCTCACCCCGTCAAATCTGTTCTTCCTCCTGTGTTTTCTGTCTCCTAGAATGACATCACCTCCTACCCAGGTGGTTGAGCCAGAGATCTGTTTACCATCTCCAAGTCTTCCTTCACGTCCTTATCCTCGTATCTAATCAATCCCTACAATGTAACCATAGTCTCCTTGTTATCTGTCATTCTACCCACTTCCCCCCAACTCCATGCCACTAGAACAGCTCTTATCTGTAACATTTGATAATCTCACAATGATTACCCACGGTACTTAACAACAACAATAACAGCATGCCTATTCCAGAGCCCTGGTGTGGCACTGTGGGTCTAATGCACTGGACTGCAAAATCATTTGAACTACAAGGTCAGTGGTTCAAACTCAACAGCTACTCCTTGGAAGCCCTACACAGGGTCGCTATGGGTCAGAACCAACTCAACAGCACTTAACAACAACATAACAATGCCTACTCCAAATCATTCATTTTACTACTGAGCAATATTTTTCAAAATGTCTTTCTGATCATGTTACTTCACTAGTGAAAATAATTTCAGTGTCTGCACATTGTTCTCAGAATGAAGTCTATATTCCTATATGTTCTTCTAATCCTATCTCTTACTACCCTCTGCCATATTAAAACAAAACAAAAAAATTGTGGAAAAATAGACTTACAAGATATGGAATTTTTCCATGAACTTTTCGAAGCCGTCTCATATAATTGGCCTGTCTTACTTGCGTAGTCCTAGAACGGAAATACCACAAGGGGATGACTTTAACAGACACATTTATTCTTAACAGTTTAGGAGGCTAGAAGTCCAAATTGAGAAAGCCAGCTCTGAGAGGAGGCTTTCTTTCTTTGTCAGCTCTGGGAAATCTCCTTTCAGCATGTGTTGACCCAGCATTCCTTGTGCCTTGGCTTCATTCTTCCTCTGGATCTAGACGTTTCACAGTTAAGGAATCCCAGATCCAAAGGATGCATTCCACTCCTAGGTCTTCCTCCTTTGCTGGGGGGGGGGGGGGGGGGGGGGGGGGGGGGGGGGGGGGGGGGGGGGGGGGGGGGGGGGGGGGGGGGGGGGGGGGGGGGGGGGGGGGGGGGGGGTAGTAGGTCCCTCTGAGCTCTGCTTACTTGCTTAAGCTCTGTCATATCTTAAAGGATATTGACTCAAGATGCTATGCTGTAGATAACCATCATAGAGGTGAGGATTTGTAACACGTAGGGGAATGACATCAGATCAGGGCTGGCCTCCTCATGAGGTGACTGCATCATGTTAGATCTCATCATGGAGGTGATAAGTGCTAAACCACTGAGAAGCCTGGCCCAGCCAAGTTGACACAAAACCTTAACTATCACAGGGCTTTATTCTCTTCTCTCCTGAGCTTTATGCAGTTCTATCGTCCCCCTCGTGGGCTGCTGTAATAATCTGTTTCTGTCCCTGTCCTGACTATCACACTCACTGGAAAGTAACTGCTGACTTTAAAGGCACAGGGATGTTCCGAAATTACCTTGGTGACCCTAACACCTGGCACACAGTAGGCATTCCACCAATATTTGTGAACACAGGAATGAGTGATGTAAGAGGAAATGTATCATGACAGGAAAGAGTAAGAGCCAATTGGAAATGAGAATAAAATTGAGTGGAAGAGATGAATATAAATAAAAAACCTGCTGCCTCTTTAACGAGCGCTGTTTCAGTGTAGCTCCACCTTCCTGCCACTCTTCCTTCCAATAGCTTGAAAGGTTTTGCCCTAAAAGGCAAAATTTACTATACAACTCACTGTGCAAATTTTGACTGACTCTTTTCACTCATATTAAAGTCTTGTCCACCTGCTGACAACTCTATATTTATTAAAGTATTTTGGAATCTACAATTTGATGATTTTTGAAGATTCTGGATACAGGGTAATTTTTATAAGTGTTATATATATTAATAACCTATAAACTCAATTACAAATTTTGGGAGTAGAATTGCTTATTGAAAGGAATGGTGGATAAATATAAATGAAAGGAAAATTTCAGGCCTGCATTTTTAGGCCTACATCAAATACAATATCTGTAGCATTTAAGCTTCATAGCCCCAAGAGGCTATGTTTCCAAGGTACCTCTGTGGCTCTAACCCCTAGACAGAGAGAACATTCAAGTCAACATTTTTGAACACAGGAATGAGTGATGTAAGAAGACATCAATATATCAATAACCTGTATTCTGAAAGGAGTCAATAATCTTAAATACTGCTAATAATCTTGTACTGAAAAGAGGGATAATGAAATTTGCCAATTCAGGGTTCTGTTTCTGACTGCAACATTTATTTTTAAAAATTACTCTTTCCCTTAAGAGTTGGCTTGTTGGAGCCTAATGGGATGGCTCATTTTTCTGCAGGGCATTAGAAAGGCCATTTCTAGCAGCAAGATACTGGACTTGCTGATCTGATGTGGCAAGTTCTACCTTCTTGGATGTATGCCTCTGGAACTAATGTAAAAACTTGGCATGGGAATTTGCACAACCACTCTTATCTCTATAAATATCACAATTAATCACTTAATGTAGACTGTCCTTACAGAAAGCATTTGACCAGGATATCATTTCTGCTTTTTAAATGTTACTTTTCTTGCTTTCACATAAAAGAAAGATTATATCGCTTAAAACTTACTCAAGATTTATTCTTAGATCTGCAGCTTTGTTTAAGAGCTTTTCCAGAGGCAAAATGGTATTTCCTTTCTCTAAAAGAAAGAAAAGGGGGTGAGGGTTCCCTTGATGAACTGAATATTTGGAATACTTGCATTAAACAGCAGAGTGTGTGGCAGATCAGCTAGTATATGTTTTAAAAGAAAACATAAATTTCTTATTTAAAAAGACCTAATGGATTCTTTATTAATACAATCATTTGGTTAGGGAAACATAAAGAATAAAGTGGCTTTTAAGTGTATGGTTGTTGTTTTTTGGTTTTTTTCCTTCTTTTTTTAAGAAAGACTTCTCATTGGTAATAAAATACATTGATGATAAGCATGTGCTGAACTAAACTATACCAAGATGTCTGGAGACAGTAAGTTGGAGGAAACATGCAGTATATTAAAGACAGAATAGTTAATCCATTATTATGGTGAATTAGAGTTTAAATTGGTACATTTGTATAAAATTGTAACATGAGACATACTTTGTTTTTTTATACAGATGACAATTTTTGGGGTCCTGTTTAAATTTTGGCCTCAGTTTTGTGAGTTTCGGAAGAACTTAACTGATGAAAAACTTATGAGTGTTTTAGAGAGAAGACAAGAATATAAGAAAAAGAAATTTTCAGTCATGGAAGACGAAAAATTAGTAAAGGTGAGACAAGACTCATTTTGAGTTTAATTAGACCTTTAAAAAGTATATAATATGTGTGGATTTGTACATGAATCTGGGCTGGGAAAAGACAAGAAATTATACAATACAGATTTTAGTGGTTTTTAAGCCTTCAAGTCAGAGACTTCAGACTTGTTTTTGATATTTCTCAGAATTCATCTCAAATGTCATGTCTTGTGTGTGAAGGCTTCCTTGCCTCCCACAGGCAGCATGAGCAGCTCATATGTGTGCATCCCTGGCAAGAACTCTCTTCTCACTGCTATTCAGTGCTGTTGAGTCAGTTCCAACCCTGCATAGGATTTCCAAGGAGCGGCTGGTAGATGTGAACCACCAAACTTTCCGTTAACAGTCCAGTGCTAATCTTACAACGCCACACCAGAACTCTAGTTCTCTCTTAGAACATGCTTTAGATTGTCCTCTGACTAATGTTTGCATCTGTCATCCTCAAGGACAGTATCTGTCTTACTCACCTGTTTCTTATAAGCATTTCCACTAGTATGCAGCACATAGTAAATGTTCAGTTGTTAATTATTGATCCTTGAATAAATGAAAGAATAAATAGATTAATGTTATGTGCTGTTGTCATTGTTGTTAAGTGCCATCGAGTCAGTTCCTACTCATAGCGACCACATATAGGGTTTCCGAGGAACAGCTGTGGATTTGAACCACCAACCTTGAAGTTCAAATGATCTAGTGGTCCAGTTCTTTACCCTATAGTGTCACACCAAGATTAGATTATGTACTGAGGACTGGTAGTTTCAACTACTAAAAATATAGAATGATAAATGAATTTTGAAAGTTGTAAATATGAGTTCATGAATTGGCTCGTCTGCCTATTTATCTGTTAGTCTGCCCATTCAATCATTCATTCATCTCGCTGTTTATATTTATTTCTTTGAATTACAGAGTAATTTCTACCCAGTATATATATTTCATTTTATTTATGATTATGGACATTCTGTTTTTGAAAAGAAATGTAAAGATAATACATAAGAGTAATGTAACTAACTAATGCTTATATTTACACTGGTCAAAATGAACAACGTTAATGTTTTTGCCTCACGTGTTTGCTTGTTATTCCTTAAGAAATAAAGTATTGGAAATTGAGTAAAATCTCTTTTAACCTGTCCTGCATTCTATTACCCTCTCCTTTCCCTAAGAGCAACCATTCAGTTTCAGATACATTCTACTAGTACTTTTTTAAAATAGTGTTTTATATAAGTATATGCATTCATAACATTACATAAACATATAAACATACACTGAATATTCAACTTATATAATGTTACCTACCATTCTATGTCTTTATAATCTTGCTTTAAAAAAAAATGTTTTATTGTGAATTATGTGGTAGTTTACATAAGAGAACATTAGCTTTACATTCATCCTATCATATGTTTCATTGCCATGGTTACAATCCCCTCCATGCATCATAAACCAACTAAAGGGTATACCCTGCAAACCTGCCCCCCAGTCGTCAGCACACAGCCCCTCTCCCTCTTTTTGTCTAGAGTCCCAAGCCACTCCATTTCACCAAGTCATCGTCTTTGCCTCCATATCTGGTGTCACTGCTTCTCTGGGTAAGGTCCGCACTCCACTCTTCTCCCTTGATGGTCCCAGGGACCTCCGCTCCTGGACTGAAAAGTCAATCACTCCCCTCCTTTTGCTACAAAACATCCACCTTTACATTTCCAACCCTCACAATCAGTCCTGATAACAATTATTCACTATTGTACCACATGAGTGCTATCCCCATCTCCTTTCATCAGTCCTGCCCAGATAGATTTGATACTACTCAGTGGAGATTCTACCTTCCTCTGTGCCCTCTGGATCTAGGCTCCCTCTTGAAAGCTTGTAAGCCAGTCACTTCTTGTCTTTGTAGCCCCCCCCCCCCATTTTGGGTAGCCAATGTCCAAGTTACCCATCCTTGTCTACCCTGTGTATTGAGGGGGTGGGAATGATCCACACTGTAAAGATTTGTTCCCTCATAATCTTGCTTTTTACATGCAATATTATGTTTTTTAAATTCTGCTCATACTGATATACTTGTTGTTCTTGTTAGGTGCCATCAGGTTGATACTGACATATAGTGACCCTATGCACAACAGAACGAAACACTGCCCAATCCTGTGCCAACCTCATAATCATTGCCACACTAGAGCCCATTGATGCTGCCACTTTGCCAATCCATCTCATTGGGAGTTTCCCTCTTTTTCTCTGACCCTCCAAGTTACCAAACATGATATCCTTCTCCAGTGACTGGTCCCTCCTAACAACATGTCCGAAGTATAAGAGACAAAGTTTGGCCATCCTGGCCTCCAAGGAGCACTCTGGCTGCACTTCTTCTAACACAGATCTGTTGGTTCTTTTGGCAGCCCATGGCCATATCTTTTTTTTTTTTTTTTAAGGTTTTTATTGTGGATCAAGTAAATGTTTAGAAGGCAGATAATAGGTTTTATATTCAACAAATCATACACCTTGTTTCATTACAAAGATTTTAATCCCCTCCATGTACCATCAGTTAACAGTGTTTCTCTCTATTCACTTTGGCTTTTTATTTTTTTTTAAACACTCAGGCATATACAATAATTTACATCACCAAAGGGCACATTCTGCAAGTCGGCCTCCTGGCCACCAGCTCTTAATCCCTCACTTCCCATGAATCTAGAGTCCTCAGCTGCTCCTACTCTGCATGTCCCCATCTCTGTTTCCATCTCTGGTATCACTGCTTCTCTGGATAAGGTCTCTCATTCTACTTGTGCTCTTCCCCTTGATGATTCTAGGGTCCTTTGCTTCTGGACTATAAGATTAACTACTCCCCTGTTTTTGTTACAAAACATCTACCTTTACAATTGTGACGGTTGCAATTAGTCATGATAACAATTACTCACTATTGAATCATAAGAATCTTATCCCCATCTCTTTTAACCAGACCCATCTTGACAAGATGGAAACTATTCAATGGGGACTCTTTTTTCCCCAACACACTCTTAAACTAAACTCCCCCTTGAAACTTTGTAAGCCAATCACTTCATGCCTTTATTGTTCCCTCATTTTAGGTAGCCAGTGTCTAAGTTGCCCATTCCTATCTACCCTATGTACAGAGGGGATAGCATTGATACTTGATGTGAAGACTCCTTCCTTCTCTGTTGGTATTTAGAGTTACTACCTCCATGAATATAGGTCAAGTTCATCAGATTGTAGCAGTTTACCCTGTGTCCTTCATCAAAAAAAAAAAAAAATTATTTTACTCTTCCTCTAGTCACGTTCTGATTATCAAGCCATTGAGGCTAGGTCAAATGGGTTCAATAGGCTCTTAACAGAGCTTTCCATCCTAACCCTTTTCTTTCCTTCAGCAGACTTTCATTGAACACTCATTACATATAGTTCCTATGCTAGGTGCTAGGGATCAGACTATAATTACATATGATTTAAAGGTAGGTAGCTGTACAGACACTTAATTACAAGTGATATAAACAAAAATCTTTGAGCTCACAGAAAAGGAATAATTAATTACTCTAGGGGGAGAGGGGAGGGAATTCATAGAAGATATAAATTGAATTTAATCTTTAAAAGTAGAAAACTGGCAAATGGTTCTCTATAGATATTTATTGAATGAATGAATATAAAAGTGAAGAGAATATGAAGACGATCATCTCTTGCTCTTCCCCAAGCACTGAGGAGAAATGTCACAACTCCCGAGGTGTGGTTACTCTTTTTTCTTTGCATTTTGAAAAAAAAAGTTGTGGAAAAAACATATATAACAATACATTTGTCATCTTAACCATTTTTAACTGTACAAGTCAGTGATTTAGTTACATTTCTCATGCTGTGCAACTATCAAAAATGTCTATGTCCAATAATTCTCATCACTCCACAAAGAACACTCAGTTCTTCTTCAATAACATTCCAGTCCCTTCCCCTCACCACTAGTCTACTTTCAGACTTTGCTCTAGATATTTT